TATATAAGGATTCATAGTACCTTAAATACGAGAATACTGAAATTAGTGGATTGATTTTCGATGGATGAATCAAACCGAAACGAGCACGTTGAAAAATGATTTAGTAGACGCGGTATTAAATGTTATCATCAACGAACGCACTCGGATTTAAACGTCCATCCTGTTCCATTTTCAATCCGTTTGTCGTCGCTGAATAAATTCTGATTGACGCGTTCTGATAATCGCGTCGCAATTACATAACGCCTGTGAAAGAGCCGATCGGACAAAGGAACAATTACATCTATGACCGATGAGAACGCGTTGTGTCATGAATTAAATCACGTTTAATCGGATTTTATAATTCTAAAAAATAGGATACCAACGAGTCTGACAGAGAATTGAATACAATTCATGTTTGAAATACGTTGCCAATCGTAGTAGTGAATTTCCATTGTTTCGAAAAAGAAGCCACAAATAACCATCAACCGAAGCGACGGCCTTCGCCAATAGAAAAATTGTACCGAGTATGAAACTGCGGGCTGACGGGCGCAAGAGGAAGCAAAGTCTGTTCAATTTTCCGTACCGTCCTAAGGAAACAGGTCGCAGTTCCAACAATATTTTCCTCGATTTCGCGCTGAATCACGCGGCGTCGCATCCTGGCCGTGGCATCGGCCAGGCCCTCGATACTTATACGTGTCGTTTCGTTATTCTTTCAAGAGAGGAGCCAGCCCTCGGCTTGTTTCAACCGGGCGCAGCCTTTCAATTTTCAGCACGAGATCCCCTCGGATTCCCGCGAGACCTGATACGATGCAGGTCATGAAAGATGCAGGGAGAAAACCGTCGTTTCCACAAAACTGAACCTATCAGCCACGATAATGTCGTACCACCGCAAATTCCTATGCTAATTGACCGAGCCCATTCCGCCTCGTCGTAATTCTTGACGGATCGAACAATTCTTTAATGTGGGATATGAATAATGTTGATGTCAGGAAATTAAGGCTGAATAAAATCAGGAACTGAATGTACGCTTTTAATTGAACGTTAAATAAGAGATACATAGAAAAATTTTAACCCATTCGCTGCCAAGGACGAGTATACTCGTCCTGCTTTAAATATATTATAACATGCAGGCTCTTTTGAAGGCCCATTGCCAACGACGAGTATACTCGTCTTTGGTTTTCTGCTTCTAGATGATTATGTATGATAATATATGTGCTCTTCCCAAGAAATAACTTGGCAGCGAATGGGTTAAACTATGCAAACGGCAACGATTTAAGGATGCATTGGCTATACAGTCAATCCCAAAAGTTTATGTACCTTAGAAAAACGCATTTAATATAATTAAAAAGAAATCAGACGTCGGAAGAATAATGCTAATAATAAATAGCTACGTGCTAAAAAGTATAGAAGGAAATATCCAATTAAGTATTGACGCTGACGAAAATTTTTTTTTC